CACAGGGCTGGGACAGGCACAGCATCAGGGGACAGACCCAGGCACAGGACCGGGACACAGGCACAGGGCTGGGGCACAAACACAGGACCAGTGGATAGACACAGGCACAGGGCCGGCCCGCCTGCCCTCTGCAGCGCTGTCAAGCTCACCTCGAACCCTTTGTGCTGCCTGCAGAACAAATGCGTGGTAGGGACTAGAACTTAAAAAAACAATAATCATCTGCTGGTGTCAAAAGAAAGCGCACAGACAGGGTAATTTCCCGGGGAGTGTGTTTTCTGAGACCTGACTGAGAAGGTCTGCATGCAGGCAGGCACCTGCTCTCAGAAATAAACTTCCATGCATGTATAGTGTGCAGTGGTTTTTAATGTGGGGTTGTTAGTGGTTGTCGTGGATCTCTGGCTATGGAATACATATGCTGATCTGAATATTTTGTCATTAGTGTTTTTGTGTTAGCTTAGGTCTCATCAGCTGGCATTGCATGAGACGGAGGGCAGGCAATCACCTGTCATCTGTTTACCTGAAAACTGGTTTGAGCCCTCCCTTTTTTTGAGCACAGTGATGGCTTTTGATATGGGTGATGCCCTGGATAAAGGCCATTTGGTAACATCTGTGGATTTTTTTTTTTTTTTGTAAAGTCCACGCTTTTCAAAACATAACCTTTGCCTTGAACCCTTCAGGGTCTGGATGACGGAGGTGTATGGTAAGAGTTGAAGGCCTGGCAGAGTTCACTTTAGAAATCAGTGGTGATTTAGTTGCATGAGTTTTTGTGTGCTCAGCTTGTACCTAAGGGTCTTTCAGACCCCTCACGCAGGAAAGCAACGGCCTCTTTGCCTTCTGAAATTGCTGTTCTGTAAAATTTGTCAAAATGACTATTCAAATTTGCTGATCATTTAGGAAGACTAGTTATTACCACCTCTGGCTACCTGTTTCCTTGCCAGGTCCTGTGTTACCTTTATGCTGGGCTTACAATAATTCATAAAATGACACGGCAGAAGTGTACTATTTTAAGTGTTTTAGTCACTGTACCTTGGAACATTCCGCAAATTTCTTCACACAACTTAAAAGTAATGTGTGTAAAACATACAAATTTTTTTAAGTTAGTTTTTGGACTCTGGTTGTATTCTGCCTTGTAACTTATTTACTTGGAGGCTGAGGAACATTTTTAGAAGTGCTTTGCTCTCTCTCTGTCTTGTCAATTTTTTTCTGTATTGAAGATATAGGAAAAGGGTCAATTTCAACAAGAGAGTAATAGTAATAATGGGGTGAAAAAAGACTGAGCTTCTGCAAGAAATTAATCACAATAATAACAACAGCTTTGTCAAAGTATTCAAAGTGTTGCTAGAGTTGTTAAATTTTGGTGGAATCAGTTTCAAACTCCAAGTGGTAGGACCTTGTGGAGTTTTTTTTAACAGTATCAAGACATACTCATATATCTTAGTCTGCCTGTGTATTGACTGTGTAGTTTGTGGCATATATTTACATGATGCTGAGCTTCTGTTTCAGCTATTTCCTTTATTCAAAGCAGAGCAAGGTGGAGTGTCTCTCAAAAACACCCCTTTATTGCTTTTCCAAAATTACTGAAATTTCTTTTTTAAAGAGTTATAACAAGTGTTAGAGGCAGTGGGCTAACAATCTTGAATGAAAAATTGTGGAAATAATTTCTAAAAGGATCAGAAGCTTCCTAGGAAAGCCTAGACAATGCCTAGGTCCTGTGAAGGTTGCAGTGTGACTGAGTGACTGCTGACAGGACTGGGTGAAACCTCCTGGAGCCGAGGTGTGACCTGAGGTGCTGCCTTCTCTTTAACAGCTGCCTGTTCTCAGTCTGCATCTTGAGACACTGGGCAGCAAACATGGATAGAGAGGTTTGTAACCTAGAAAATGAGGTTGTTGCTGAAGTAAATATTTTAAATTCATTGTTTTCAGTGTAAATTTCCAAAATTGTGTTGTAGCAGTTAATGGGAAAAAAAAGATACCGGCATTGCTATGTTATCATTACTTGTGTGTTAACAGGTATCTTTTTGTTCCCTGATTGTTACTATGCAAATTGTGAGAAAGTAGTAATGGCTGTCAGTGCTTTTCCCTATGTATCATCCTGTAATTTTGTTAAATTGATCACTTCAAACTATGACTCTTTGGAATACAACAGAATTGTGGAACAGTCCCACCTTCATGAAGATGAGACCAGATTTGCTGGCAAACACAGTTGAAAGCTGACATGTGGCATTCACATTTCCAGTGCAAGGATGTCACTTGTGTCGATGGCTGCAAAAAACCAGCTCTGAATATGCAATTTTATTGATCAGCTGTCTGGAAAACCAGTCCAATATTTTTAGCAAGTTGAACAGATTTTGTAAATGCATAACAGTGTGCAACTAGCTGTCGAAAGATTTAAGTAAGGTAAACATGTTGGAATACAGATTTTGGTTAGAAGCTAAGTAGCCGTTCAGTTAAATCTTATTTTTTTTCTGCCAGGTTTGAGAAATATACTCTCTTAGCTCAGGCTATATACACATATAAAGAGATAGTCAAATAATTAAAAAATAACCCACAACAGTATTTGGTTTGGTTTCAAGATAGATTTTTTCCAAAGTATGCACAATATTCCTAACATTTTCCTGTGCTGAAATACATTCAATACAAGGGAGTTTTTGCTCTCTTGGAGTTAATGGTGCTGTTGTGTACATTGTATTCTGGCTTATCTTTAGTGTTTTCCTTAGTCTAAGTTCTCAGACTTGCAGTTCTATTAATAATGCAGGTGTTTGCATGACAGGTACTCTACTGTTGTGGCACTCTTAACATGGTGATTTGTGAAATATCTCTGTAAATCAGTTGTGTAGTGCTGCCTGCAGGTTGCTTTGCACCAGCTTCCATGTCTCCCATCCTCTGGGGACTGTCATCAGACAGCAGTTCTGAAAAGAGCAGATAATGCAGAATATGAAGGAAAAGTTTCACAGCATGAGAATGATGTTACTGTTAACTTAATACATACCATTAAAGAGTTAAATTGAGTTTGCCTTGGCAGGGTAGTTAGTAGCAAAACTCAAGGATGAGGGAGGATGTGTGGGTTGGGGGTTTTGGACAGGATTCTCTGTGTGTGTGTGTGTATCCCAAGGGCAGCAGTAAATAATGTTGGTAGTGTCACAATTAGAAAGAAAGAAAAAGTATTTGGGATACTGAAATGTCTATTTTACAGCTTTCACCAAGTTTAGGTTGAGCCTGGCTAAAATGTGAGAAAATAACTGCTGAAACTAGAAACCTTAAGTGCGACAAAACCCAAAAATAAAGACTTGCATTTAAGTTTGGCCTATTTATTGTAGGTTTTTGCGATTTTTGTGCCAAAGGACAGTTCCCAGGAAGGAGATGTGGATTTGGGACTCTGTAGGGAGCTGTTTTCACAGTAATCTGCAGCTGAAGGCAAGAGCTCAGTTAATGTGTGAGTTTAAGGAGATAAATTTGTGGTGTGTACTGCTGAGGAGAAACATTGATTAGATAGAAAACTGCATTTTGAAATACTGAATGCACTTTTTGATGGAAACTTTGCTGTGAAAGGGAGAGAATCCTGTGACCCCCACAGGAGGGGTTGCCCACAGACGTGCACACACTCCCACGCTGCTGAAGTGGTTGGCACAGACTTGAGCAGGCTTCTGCTTGTTTAATAGAAGGGTTCTCAGCATGTTATCAAGGATTGCAGAGGGTACCATGAAATAAAACCATAACTACTTTAGGGAAAAAAATAGCTTAAAGCCATAAGTCTTTGCTACAGAAATTCCATTATGAGTTTTTCATGGGAAGTTTGTCAGCTTCTCAAATCTTTTAGTCTCATTTTTGAAAGAAGCAAAGTGCATTAAGGCAGACACAAACCTATTGTCCCAGGTGTGAGCTGAGCAGAGGACATGGAACCATGTTAAGGCAGCTGTCTGCCTGTGATAACTTACCCTGCATGTCCCTGGCTCTGTTTGCTCAGGCCTTTGCATGGTATCAGCCATGGGAGCGCGATTTCCATGTGGGCTGGAGCACAGACAGAAAGAGCTGAGGGTGATGTGAGCAGAACAAGTCTGTGAACCTCCAGCAAAATGTGAAACCAGCTGGAATGCCTGACTTGGGGGAAATCCAATCATTTGTGTTGGTTTTCATCATATACTCTTAAGTGCTTAAATCAAATGGAGGGTTGTTGCCTGATTTACATTATTTGACACAACAGCTTAATGAAGGTGAAACAAACAGACTTCTGGTGAAACAGCAAGGTGTGTGCTGTTAGAATAACAGTAATCCTGTTTGAATAGTTGCGTGTGTTTTGGATTTGGTGAACTCACGTACATTAAAACATAGGCTGCACTGTGAACATCACATGTAAAAAGGAGTTACTTGGAAAAATCCATAGACACAAATCTGCTTGCTTCCTGAGAGAGCCTGCTGGAGCAGCACTCTGTGCTGGCTCCGTGGCTGCGAGGTGCAAGCGCGGGGATGTGACTGGAGTGCAGATCCTTTCCTGTGCCCGCCTGATGAGAGCCACTGTCACTCTCTGTCTCGTCCTGAGTCATGCCACAGCACCCTCCTGGCAGTGCCCTTGTGACAGCTTGTGCAGCTCTTGGAGGCAGTCAGCTGTGCTTTATGGAAGTGAAACCAGATATTTCCCACAGCCTCCTGTAGTAAGAAATTACTTCTTTTGGAAGGGCTGGGAGAGAGAAACAGGTTTGCTAGGGATGGATATGTGGACTGAAGGCAGTTTGATGAAACCTTTTGAGAAATGTATGCTGGATATTATATAACAGTATTACTTGAGGTTGCAGGATTTTGGAATAGAGCCAATATTTTGGCGTGTTTTGTTTAAACAGTTTGAGGAGGACTTCAGAGGCTGCTGATTTCTGCATGTGCAAGGGAACAGCATGTGGATGTATTCTTGTGAAGTGTTCTGTTTTCTCCAATTCATATCTTCTGTTTGGGACTTGGATACCTATTTACCTTGGAGTGGCTATATAAGGAACACAAGTTTGGCAGACTTTTTTTTGGTAGATGGAGATGTCTATATTAAGTAATAGGAAGAGTGTGTCATTCCCTCTTGTGTGCTTGCTGATTCCCAAGAGCTGCTGTGTGTTTTATGCAGCAGTATGCATTGAAGAAGGAGGATCTGTTCACCCTGAATCTTTATTAGTGTCATATCAAACCGTGTTGGGGTTTAATTGTCAAACTGTTAGCATAAGGTCAGTTTTAGGAAGCCAGGTATCATGTTGTCAGTCCCAGAAAGTGCAGATAAATGGAGACCTGTATCATGAGAGCACATTATTGCTTTTCTCTCCTCTTCAATATTTTTTCTGCTATCTCCATATTATACTTTGTTCCTGTCCGTTTCTAATAATTTATTTAAAATTAGAATGTTAAGTCTGTTTATCACTTTGGGGATTCACTTTGGAAAATTTAAATGTGGTTTTCAGAAGCTGTGTGCATAACTTTGCTGTTAAAATGATAGAATAGGCTAAAATAGGAGTACTTAGTATTTCTTTTTATTGATCTCATCATGTGGGGGTTCTGAATACATCTTTCAGTTTGGTCTATGTGCTCCCAAAATCATGCATATGCCAAAATTTCAGAGATGCTGTTGCTTCAAAGCTTTTTGTTTATGTTGTATGTGATGTACAACAGTGGTTCCTGTGCTCTCCTTGCTGGATGTTGGAACTGGCAGCAGGAGCAGGATGCAGCCTAGAGTCAGCTTAGGTTTGTGTTGAGGGAGGGAGTTGTGCTGGTAGTGATAGAGCAACACAACCAGTGCAAATTTTGCATAATACATAAGGTTTGCATATAAGCAAATAAATGCTCTTGCTGTTTTTAGTGGGCAGTTGGAATGCTAATTTATTATTTGAACATGCTGGGAATTCTTAAATTATGAGTGTTTCTCTTTATGAATTATGTTTTTGGACGAACTGCCAAAGAGTGCACAGAATGTCACGAGTATTTGAGTATTGCTTTCTGTGCCTTTGCCTAGAAATGGGGGCTAAAGGAAATATTTCTATAACCAAGAAAAAGAGAGGAAAACTGCTGAAGTCGATATGAGCTGCAGATGTTTTTCCTAGGCTGCAAATAGCTATAGCAGGAGCAGTTTGAACTTTAATAATTTTGTAACTTTAAGCAACAGATAACACAGCAGGAATTTTTTTCCAGCAATACTATGAACTTAAGATATCAAAACAGGAGACAGACATAAATTAAGGGAACAGAACTTTTGTTTATAGGTTTGTACAAAACTCTCTCCTACACATCACTAGAGCCAGTATAAATCTTCCCAGTAACTTTGTATTGGTGTGTTGTAGCATAGTCATGCAGTCAAGGTGTCAGTATTGCTGCATTCAGTACAGGTTTTCTGATCCTGCCTGTCCCTGATGGTTGTCTTCCTGACCCTTAGAGCTGTGTCACAAAATCTGTGTGACACTGAGCCACACAGATGGTGTCCCTTGGGGCTGCCAAGCTCTCGGGGTGGGTCATGGGTGGAAGGGCAGGTCTGGCACAGCAGCTCAGAGTGAGGGTGAGCTGCTGCCTGACTGAGGCTGAGCTTGTCTTGTGCTGGGATGCAACAGCATTTGCTGATTTTCTTCCTCCTGTAGTAACAATTAAGATTATTTGGCAGCCCTCACTCCAGATCAGCCTCTCTGACAGTCTCATAACATCCTCCATGGTATGACACCTACCTCTGACTTATTCAAAAGTGATGTTCAGTGAAAGAGGCACAGTGTTGCTACAGTGCTTTGAGAAGGCTTTATGGTGTGCTGTTTTGCATCACCATACTGTATTGCGTACATTGTGCAATTTTTTGTTTTGCATTGCATTTTTTAGGATTTTTACTGGACAGCAATGGTAGCAGAGACATAAAATCGAAGTCAGTGTTTGTGCACCTCCACTCTTCTGTCTTGTCAGTGTGATCTCTTATTGGAGAAATAGCCAACACTGTATTGAAGATGTATTGAAGATGTTAAGACAGCATGGAGGAAACAGTATTATGATTCTGCAAGTAATAGACTATAACAAGGGACAAATTCAAATATTAAAATCCTCTAGAGCTTCTAAATCAGGGAAATTAGGGAAATTCTGTGATAAGTGAGAGGTGTGTAAGTGACTAGCAACACTGGCTCAAGACCTTCACTCAGTGTAGATTCACTTTCAGTTACATTTAAGTACACCCATTGAAAGTGTCATATGATTTCTTACCAATTACTTTGTTTATGGATGCAGCAACACCTGAAAGAACTTGCACTAACCTGTCACAAATATTAAGTATAGATAAGCTTTTCTTTGAACGTCTTCTAAAATACAGCATGCAGCAATGTTGTGCTGTAGTTTGAGAGATGACTAAGGTGATGATCTTTCTGTTTGAGGTGTATGGTCTCAAGACAGGGAGTCCTTAATCAAAGCTGGTTGACCCTGCCTGACCTCTTGATGCTGTGTTTAAGCTAGACTGAGGAAGTGTGATAACTTACTTTCTTAAGCTTTCTTAATTCTCACTGTTAATTTTAGAGCTGTTCACTTCCTATGTTAGTTCAGGAGCAGCTGTATTTTCCTGTGTGCTACAAAAAGCAAGTGGTTTTTGTTCTGGTTTTGAGGGATTTTTTTGTTTGTTTCATTTCAACAGGGTTGTTATAAAAAGTATACTCCTTTCTATGCATTTGCATTCCTCCCCCTTATCCCTCAGTAAGGTTTTGGCTTTAATCTAGAGTATGCATATCATTTCTGAAAGTGGTGTGAAGGACTTGTGCCTTGCATCTGGCGTTATCTCTTATGTATTCAGAGGCACTCCTGGTTGGCAAGCTTTGCACAGTTGCCAGTTAAAGTGTTGAGTTAAACATAGTGTGGTGAAGGAACTGTCTTGATCTGAATAATGGTCATGATTGCACTTCATAGTCTTAGGTCACAGTACTGAGTCAGGCTGAAAAAATTAGGTCCTAAGGTTAATTTTATTTAATTTTTGCTTTGTTCTGTTGCACTCTCCAGCTGGGTGATTCAACTCACATGTTTGAGGATCTTCTATATGCTCAGCCTTCTAGTTGTGCTTCAGCCTCAGTATTTTACACTCATTCATCCATGGGGAATGACTACTGTAGTAGTCATACTTGGCAGGTACTCACATGAGAAAATTTTCATGTTGATTTTTGCCCTGAAGAACTAGTTTGTTATTGAGCTAAGCAGCTTCTTTAAATGTACCTCTGCTTCCAGCATCAGGTGGAAGGGAAGTTTGCCTCATCAAGCTCTTAGATTGCTTCTTATGGGATAGTTTTTGAGATGAGGCAGAAAGGACAGTACAGTCCTGCTTCTTTTGCTCTCTTGTAATTACTTTGTATCTAGTGGGCATTGTTTTCTGTCTAAATTTGAACTAACCGGTGATCTTCTGAAGCTGCTGTTGTTAACGACCTGGACAAAGGTGACAGGGCACACACAGTTGGTAAAAGATAAAGTTTCAATGCCAGTAAGTAACAGTGTCAGCTCCTAGCATAGAAGTACCCAGGAGTAAAGAAGAGAATAACTGTATTAACAAACTTCCTCCCTTGTTTTTTGTGCAGTGTGGTATTTGCCTGTAGGCAGCAAGTCACTGAACATTATATGCTGTAATAGTTCACTTCAGCCTTTGCTGCTCTGAAGCAAACCTGCTGCAGGCATGCTGAAACGTGCTCTTTCAGCTGCTATTGATTCTGCTCTTTGTGGAGCTCACAGCAACCCTCCTAAACCTCTTACAACTGCTCACTGCTGCATCTTCTGCTCATTTTTGGGTACACAGGACACTTCTACATAATCTTCTAATTATTTTTAGAGACTGTTTCCAGCAAGTGAGTCAGATGAATCTTGAGGGTGTTTCTGAGAGCTCTGCACAGCCTTTCACTCTACATTTGCTGCTTCTGTTGTTCTGTGCACAGATGTGTCAGTGCACATGTGGATGGTGTGAGCAGGTGTGCCAAGTGAGGGATGCCCCATCCTGGAGGGAGTTCCAGTAGTCACCTTTGTGATACTAGGTCTGAGTCAGACCATTAAAAGTCCCCTTTTTTCCATCTTGTGCTGATTCTTCTGTCTTCATGTTCAAGAAAATCCCAGCACTTGAGGTAGCTGTGTGAAATCTTTACTGAGTCATTTTTCAGTATGGATTTCTCTTTTAACATTTTGGACTCATGGGAAGTATTCCAATGCAGTATTTTCTAGTATTTTCTTCTCTACTAAGCAACTTCTTGGTAGTTTTCTGACAGATGTACTAGGTGAAGCTTCAGGGGAAATAAAGAAGATAAAACCCCATTATTTGATCCTCAGGGTTAGTCAGGGACCAACTTCTCCAGGTACTTGGAAGGATGAGATCTGTCACCTATGTTAGAAGAAGCATTTTTTGCAGTTCATGACATGCAAGCTCTTAAGCGTGCATGTTTATCACTGGGCTGATAGAGGTGACCATGGGAAACATTTTTCTGTAATCTGCTTAGGTAGTGTCCTTTTTTGATTGTTATTGTTCGTAGTTTTCCATCCTGTGACAGTAAGCAGAGATAATGGAGGCTGTTGACTGCAAAATACTTTGCAGTGTTACTGCTCCCAGCCCGTGGTGTTTCTGGTACCTGTGCATCCTGCCTTGCAAATAAGAGTATCTGAGGACAAGAGAACAAATCAGAATATGAACAGTTTCTAATATATACCTTTAAGGGAGCATAATACTACATCATGAATCCCAAAATGGATACTGCATTGTTTAATCTGAACTTAGTTCACTGTGCACACCCTTACTGTAAAGGTAACAATTCATCAAAATAAAAAGTTACCTGAAATGTTCCTTGCACCTTTACCATAGTGGATGTGATTGTTCCTCCTCTTTCAAAGTGCACCCACTGTAGTTGCTTTTAAGCATTTAGAAGTGAGAGGGGGAGCTGCATCTGTGATTTTAATTTTGCCTGACTATGACAGCAGGGCATCTGAGCTTGTGTTGGTACTGTAGGAGAGTGACACCAAAGTAACAAGTAATAAACAGGTCATAAACTTGTTTCAAAACAGGTAACTTGAGGTCATTCTTCATTTTGCTCAGGGAATAGAAATTTAACCTACAAACTCAACCTTATGGTTTTAACTGTAATTGTAATAATAGCTTTAGATACTTTCATAAGAAGTTCTGAGCACTTCTTATATAGGAAAGGTAGCAAAGTAACTTGGGGCTCAGTTTTGTATTCCTTGAATGTTCCAAAATGCTGTGCAGGATAAAAAAACAAAACCAAACAAACTCAAAAAACCACACATCCAAAAGACTGTGCATATAAGAAGATGCTGGAAAGGCTTAGGAATCTGCACTGACTTTCCAGATGGCATACTGGCACTTCAGATTTAATTTGAAAATGTTCTTATGCTGGAGCTGTAAAGTTATTAACGAACTGCAACTGTGGCTAGTTATTGGACTTAATATTTTTATATTAGATTATTTTCAGTTTGATCCCATGTTCCTGAAGGAGAGGTGTTGAGAGTTTTATTCTGTTCTTGGTTCCCCTGCCTCCTGAGCAGTTCCAGAGCAGGTTTGCTGCACAGATGGACGTGCAGAGGGTTTCTGGAGCGAGCAGGGCGTGCGCGGGGTGCGGAACTGATCTGTGCAGCCAAGTGAGGGTGGGAGCCCCGACCCCAAACTGCCTTTTGTCTTGGCTTCCAGGTGAGCAGGGTAAGCCTGGCGCCGTGGTAGTGCCCCTTCCTTCCCAGGGCTGCTGTGGACTTGGTTGGAGTAGACATTGAGAGTGTAAATCTACTGTGATGGAAGGAGACAGGAGTTAATGATTACATTGCTCTCCATTCTTTCATTTAACTAATCTTTCAAGTCAAATAATTTATCAAGTCATAAACGAGAATATTTGCCAGGCAGAACCCACTGTGTGTGTGGAAGTAGAGTTTTCTCCACTCTGTTCTGTGTGAGAAAATCCCGTGCAAGGCTTGCCAGGCTTCCTGTTGGGTGACCTGCTGCTGTGCACATGGTGGCAAAGGTCTGCTGCAGGCTTTTTGCTCCCATCAGAGTTTTCAGGTGGAGGTTTTTTCCCAAGCCTGTTATCCTCCAGCAGTACTCATCAGTCTGCTGGGAGTGTGTTAGTCTCGCCTCTGCCCAGATAGCATGTGGTGCCAGTTATCAGGAGGTCACAGATTGTTTGTTTATGTGATAATATTTACTACACTAACAAAACAGAAGCAATACACTAGAGCTGTATAAAGGTCTATGCTACCTGGCTTTATGGAGACAGACAGAAAGGCAGATTACCTGACCTGCTGTTTCCTTCTGGTTTGGTTTAATGGTAACACCACTGGTGTGATTTGCCGAACTGATGTAATAGACCTTTATTTGTTTTAAAACTCCCTGCTCATAGCTGTTGTGCTGATTCAGAGGGGGTCAGAGCTATTGGTGTGTTACAGTAATTTAGTAGTTGTAGCTTTTGTTAAGTTCTAACACAAACCCAAATGTTGCTATTTTACTGGGAAAGGTTAACGAATTAATATTAATTGCACCACTGTTGATACTACTTTTACTTGTTAAGCTCTTGTTTTAAAGCAAACTTATAAACTGTTGTTTGGTCCTTCTGAGTGCTTTTTTAAGCAAAGGGAATTGGCAGGCTGAGGAAATCCGAATTCCCCATTGTAGGAAAAAGATACCTTCAAATTCTCTGTCGTTTTAAATATTTGGGAATTTACCTGAAGCTGCAATTCCAGAATATACAAAGTGCATGCTAATAGTTGCACTTTAAGACTTAAAAAAAAAATATATCTGTATTTTAAATGATGAGTTTGCAAACTGCATAGTCTGTATGTGCAGCTGTTCCAGCGGACTAACACTGTTTTGCAAGTGAGCCAAAGAACAACAGGGTGACTGTATTTTATAGGAGATGTTAGAATTACTGGTGTGTTTCAAGATAATTAGATATTACCAGAGTTGCACTCTTTGTCATTATGAAATAAATCAGCTTCTTCCCATAGCTTCTTCCCGTTGCTGCTCTTCCCACTTTGTTTTTCCTGCACAAAACCTTTTTCTCCCGCTTCATCTTTTTTGTTTTGTAAGGACTTTTTCTTTCAGATCAGTTGAGGTAACAGTTCCTCTTTTTTTTTTCACTCCTCTGGTAGCAAAATGCATCTTCCATCACCTGAGGGAAGAGAAGCAACAGACTCTCACAGCACTTGCTTACAGAGATGGGAAGGAGGGATGATATGGAGATACTTTCCAGGGAAGAAATAGAAGGTTATTCCCACACATGCAATGATTCAGCTAGATTGTTTTTATGTACAGTGTGATTGAAAAAAAAAAAAAAGGGCAGTGGGAAGTAATGGGAAGTAAGGGTATTTCTCAAAACAGTCTTTCCAGTTGGCATTTGATGTTTTTTGCTGGAAATGCTGCAAAAAATAAAGAGCAAGACTGAGGA